CCACGACTGCCATCACCACCACCTCCATTACCATCACCACCACCACCACCACCATCACCACCACCTCCACCATCATCACCACCTCCACCACCATCACCATCACCTCCACCACCATCACCTCTACCATCATCACTATCTCCTGCCACGACTGCCATCACCACCACCTCCACCATCACCACCACCACCATGCCTGCCACAACTTCTGCCACACCAAGGCTCAGACTGGCCCATCCCTCCTTGGAGCCCAGCTGCCCCTACCACACCAACCACCGTGGAGCCTCTCCAGCAACAGTGAAGGCATTTACCGTATTAGGGTCTACCCCCGGCTGGCAGACATCCCTGTCTTTATAGACTTCACCGACTGTCTGTGAGAGCTGGAACCCCTCCACGGTCCACAGGTCCTGTGGGCAGGAGGAGACGCACACCTGCGGGCACAGAGCAAGCTCAAGGCCTGGCCCCGAGCGCCTTGGGGCCAGGCGGGGCTCTGGAAGGCCCTGGCTTCTGACCTGGGGGGTGGGGCACTGGAGGCCATTCTGAGCGAGGGAGATGATGTTGGTGGCTACGACACAGCGGAGGATGTTGAAGTACAGAACGTAGGGTTTATCCCTGTAGGGAGAGAGGATGGTACCCGTCAGGGCCGGGGCAGGCGCAGGGCGTCACCCTCTTAGCACACAGACATCCTGTGGACCAAACCAGTTACATCCAGCTCCTGGCCCAGCTTCTCTGGGAAGGTAAGGAAGACCCAAGGACCACACTGGGTCCTCAGGCTACAACAGCCTGTGTGTGGCTGACAGGCAGCTTTATGACCTTGAACAAGGAGGATGATGGTAGGGATCACCTCAGGAGGCTTAGCAGTTTGGGTGTGAAACACCCCGCCTTCCTGGAGCACTGTGAGTGCTCAAGGAGTGTCAGCAGCTTTCCTGGGCGTTTCCTGCTTGACCTCTGGAAGCCGGGACTGCCTTCGTGGAGAAAGTTAAACCTCAGAGAGGCTGAGGGAGCTGCTTCAGGTGACACCACCCAAACTTGTCCCAGATGAACACTTGGACCCTTACGTCCTTACTCTAAGCCCTTGAACTGGCTCCGGGCCGCCCCAGTCCTGGGAAGGCCAGCCAAGGACGTCTCCGTGTGGCCCGTGGTGCTTGGGCTCATCTCCTGACCCCACGCTCTGCTTTCTCCCTCATACTCACTTGTTCGCCCCCATGCCGCAGTAGGCCCCGGTGGAGTTCCTGGGGTACAGCACTTGCCGAGGGTCTCCGTACGCCCAGGCTGGAGACAGGGACACACCACAGAATCACAGGGAAGCAGAGGCTGGGGGCAGGCAGCCGTGGAGGGATCCCTTCCTGGTTCCTGCTCCTCGCCCTCAGCCCCCAGCTCTGAGCAGCTGGAAACTTACCCACAAGCCCCACCACAATGTAACCCACGATGAAGAGCAGGAAGAGGACACAGCAGACAATGTCTGTGCAGCCCCTGGGGAGAGACAGACGTCTGAGCTGGGTGTGCATAAGGATGGTGTGAGGAGTTTGGGGTGCAACTGTGGGGCATGGTCTGGGAGTTCATGGGCTGGAGGATTGGAGAATGCCAGAAAGATTGCCAATCTAGTTTTGTTGTTGTTTGTGTCTCAAGAAAGAGTTTCTCTATGTAGCCTTGGCTGTCCTGGACTCACTTGTAGACAAGGCTGACCTCGAACTCATAGAAATCCCCCTGACTCTGAATGCTGGGACTAAAGGCATGCACCACCGCACCCGGCTAGATTGGCATTCTTTTTATGTTTTTCCAGACATGGTTTCTCTGTGTAGCCCTGGTTGTCCAGGGATTCGCTTTGTAGACCAAGCAGGCCTTGAATTCAGGGATCTGCTGGCCTCTGCCTCCCAAGTGCTGGGATTAAAGGCGTGCCATCACTGCCTAGCAAGATTGACATTCTTTATCTATTTAACAAAACAAAACAAACTTTTCTTAGGCTGGGGATTCTTCTGATGAAATATAGCGCGCACACACACACACACACACACACACACACACAGTGCTTGCAAATGCTTACCCTGGTGAGTTTTCCTCAAGTGTAACATACCTGAGTAGCTGGCACCCAAGTGAAGAACAGAATGACCCCAGCACTCTGAGGCCCCTCAGGCCCCTTCAGAGAGCACCGGTGCCACGGTGGACCAGGCTCCTGAAGCACAGACAAGCCAAATCCTGCCCGCATCCCCCGGGGGACATTACCCACCACGCACCTGTTTTTGATGGGGCCTCGAAAGGACGGGTCATATTTGGCTGCTTTCCCTGAGGGTGGGGGTGGAGAAGGAGGTACTGAAGGTCTCTCCAGATCCTGTCCCTCTCAGCCATCCCTTAGTGCCATCCCGTCTAGCCGGCTCGCGGGAGGACACTGGGGAGCTGGCGAGCGAACAGCCCGGTGGTTGCCTGCTCTGGCGTCCACCCAGCAGCAGGTGGACGGTGGGCCATTCAGCTTGGCCAGTGTTGGATATTGAACCTGTGGCTTCCTGTGTGTGTGTGTATGTGCCACCCAGCTGTGACCAGGCCGGCCTCAAACTCACAGACACCGCCTGCCTCTGCCTCCCGAGGGCTGGGATTAAAGTCGTGCACCACCAAGGCCAGACCACACCATTTGTTTTTACTTTTACTTTGTATTTCCGACTGGATCTTGCTCAGTCCCCCAAGCTGGCCTTGAACTTGCCACCCTCCTGCATCAGCCTCTGGATTAGTTTTAATAACAGGCTTCTGGAGGTGTCTCTCAAAGGTTTCTGAGTCACACTCAAGGCCGTCTGAGTAGAAGGTGGCCCCCTCCTCGGCCAGCCTCCGGGGCTCCCTCTCAGTGGCTCTCAGGCTCCCATCCTGTCTCTGTCCTACAGTCCGGTCCAGGTCCTCTCTGGACCATCCAGTTTGGGAGCCCCTCAGGGCACCATAGTCATCCCGGCAGCCAAGGTCCTGTCTCAGCCCTCTGGCCCAAGGACATGACAAAGAAAGGAAAGTGGAAGGTGTGGAAGCCCTCAGGGCATGGGGAGGAAGCAAGGGCTCTGCCGACCCTCCACGGCTCTGGGTAGCTAGCCAGCTTGACACCTGAGCAGGCTGCTGGGGTTGTGGCCATGTCCTGTTCCTGGTCCTCCCTGAGTACACAGGGGAGGGGGTGGGGCCCGGCTGCCAGGGTCCTGCTGGACACTGACGGAGGGCTGAGGGCTGGGCTAGCCTGGGGCAGGTATCTTCTTTCTTGGGTATTCTGGACTCTGTCCCACCCAGGCTCATGGACTCAGGGTCAATGATTGACCCAAAGCTGCTCCAGGAAGTTTTCTGTGGCGTTCTGGCTTTTCCGAGGTCTCCTAGGGGACAGCAGCCCCACCTAGAGGAGGCCCAACCCTCAGCCCTCCCGTTCGGTCTGCTGTCCTCACCTTCTCTGGACTTTCGGGAAAGACTTCCAGGCTTTTTACTTTAGCAGTTCTGGAAACAGGCCCCTGCTCCCTCTCTCCTCAGGCCTCAGCCTCCACAGGGCCCGGCCCCTGTTCCTTAGAGCACCCCAAAGAGGCTCCCTACTTCTTCCCAACAGAAACCTTAGGGCAGGTGTCACCCCACTCTCTGTCAGCCCTGAGACCCCACTTCTCTCAGGGCCACCAGCAGGCACACCCCAGCGGCTCAGGGTCCCCTCTTTCCCACCTCATGGAATCCTAGCAGGCTGAGCGCAGAAGTTCCCGCCCCCTGCTCCTCACAAGGACTTGGGAGCTCCCCAAGTCTTCACAGACCCCCAGCACCTTCGCTCCTCAGAGACCCAGAGTCTAAGCGAGCGCTCCCAACTCACAGGCGCCCCCGGCTTCAAGCCTGGGAGGCCCCGCGGCACGGGACACTGCTGACCCCGAGTCAGGAAGCTTCAGGACCCCAACCTGCCTCCTAACCACGCAGGCTTTGTTGGCCCGGGCTCTGCCCTGGGGGACCGGTAGCCCAGGCCTGAGCAGCCCTGGCGCCACACACGGAGGCCAGCTCCAACTTCTGCACACCCAGATCCCGCTTTAGTATGCCAGACCTTTGCGGTGTCCCGAACCACCCTCCCGTGGCCGGGGACCGGGTTCTGTCCTGTTTTCCCGGAGCCTCGCCGCTGACCCGGGACTCCGGTCCCTCCGCCGGGGGCCAGCCTCAGCCCCGCGGTCTGCAGAGCCCAGCCACCTCCCCGGAGCGCAGGCCTCTCACCCCGGCCTTACCGTACGCCTCGTTGTCATCCTGCTTTCCCCCCATGGCTCAGTCTCCGGAGTGATTGGAGCCAGGGAGACCTGGCCGCTCACCTGCCGCCCGCCCCGCCCTCCCACGTCACAGCCCCACCCCCGGCCGCGGTCCCCGAGCAGTTCCTTCTCCGGATCTCAGGCCAGCCTTCGGGATCCTGGGCCTGGCACCCGGCTTCGGCGGCCGCTGGCGGCGTATGCAGCGGTGCGCAGCAGGAAGAAACTGGAATACTTCGATAAGAAAACACGGTGTAATTTTTCCAGGTACCTCGGCTGTGGCACGCCCAAACCTCAGGGCTGCGGCTTGCCTTTACCTAAATCCCTGTGGCCAATGGTCCCTCAGAGCAGTCCTCTCCCGCCAGGTGGCAGCCCACAACCTGCTTTCCACCCCACCCGTCCCCTCAGCCCTCCTCCTGAAACAATCACCAGACACTTTATTACCAAACCCAACGTTTATTGAGAACACAGAAAATCAGGTGGCAGATCCCCAACTTTAATCAGCAAGCCTCGGCCAGCCCTCAGACCACATCCCCGGGAGGAAGCAGCGCTGGAGAGGAGAGGCTGCGGACCCTCCGGGCCGGCCGACTGGGGTCTCTGACAGGAATGTGTGAAGCGCCCGGCGTGGCTAGGTCCTCAGCTGTTGATGGGGGCCAGGGAGCTGAGCTCCGGCAGCAGCTCAGGGTGGGGGTCCAGCCGAGCCAGGCGGCTCTGCTCCAGCGCGATGGCCTCCGCCGAGTGCTTGCACTTCTCGGAGCCACACTGGCAGGTGAAGTACTTGCTTTTGATGTCCCAGAACCGGTCACCATAGTCAAACCTGGCAGAGGATTACGGGCACAGGAGCCAGGCGCTCAGAAGCCACCTCGGACAGAGCCCTCTCTCCAGGAAGATCCCCTCCCACCCAACCACACCTCGGAGCCCTCTCTCCAGGAAGACCCCCTCCCACTCAACTACACCTCCCGACGACTCCAAGTCCTTGTAGGGGCGGTTGACTCACGCTACCCCAGAACGGTCACAAGCGCAGCCTCCGGACCCATGAACCAGAACCTCCTGAGGCTGTGTGTGTGTGTGTGTGTGTGTGTGTGTGTGTGTGGTGGGGCGAAACCCAGGGCCTTGCACACTGTACTCAACCACTGAGCTCAATGAACCTATCTTCCACCCCCTCTTTTTTCTAAGATCGAGTCTCCAGACTGGGCTGTCCTTGAACTCGAAGAGCCCCCTGCTCCTGCCTCCTGGGTGCTGGGATTAAAACCATGAGCCGCCACATCCGGCTCCTCAGAAAATGAGACCAGGGTCTTACTAAACTGCCCAGGTTGGCCTAGGTAGCTACTTCTGCCTCAGCCCCTCTCAGGTGCTGGCATGAGGCCTGCGGCCGGAACAGGCTGTTCTTTTTCCTTTTCGTTTTTGAGGCAGAGCCGCACTCTGCAGCAGACTGCGATCCCCCTGGCTCAGCCTCCTGAGCATTAACTGTGAGTGCTACCACACCTGCCCTGCACTGTGGGGACAAGCCCAACGAGGGACACTTGTGCACATGGAAGGCTGGTCAGTTTCCACTGGTCTCTGGGTACCAGGAGCCCTCAACCCCCTGCCCCGGGACAGCTAGGGCGCCTCACCCCAGCTCCTCCCCAGTCCGGATGTCCCTGGAACTGAAGAAGGCGATGCGTGGGAAGCGCAGGTCTTGGTGTAGCATGAAAACCCGGACGGGGATGATGTTGGGGTCACACAGGTGGTTGATGAATCGGCTGATGTTGCCATAGTAACGGGCGTCGATGCAGTAAACCTCTCCATCCTGGGGAGGGCAGTTTCTTAACACCCACCTCCCCTCAGCTGCCTGGCTGCTCCTCCCGTCCCTGATGCCCCAGTGGCTCCAGAGTGCAGCCTCTGGAAGCAGGGGACCTGATGCTGCCTGCCTACCTTGTTGTCTAGATCGAAGAGGTAGGAGTCATCCTCCCTCACGTCAGCCTCAGCATCAGAGATCAGCTCTCCCACATACCTGTCGCACGGAAACTTTGGCTCTCAGTGTGAGCGGGCCCGACTCCGCCCCACTTCAAGCCCCGTATTCTCAGCTGCCCCACACAGCAAGCCACCGGTCACTCAGGCCAGGGAAGGGATGCAGGACATAGTCCAGCAGCTAGGGGTCCCTCTGTACAGTGGCATCAGGAGGAGGGGAGGCAGGTGTGGGGCTCTGCCCCAGGGTGGGGGGGCTGAGAGGCAAAGGCATGATGGGAAATGCTGAGGGGGAGTGAGACAGGAGCCGGCTGGTCCGTGGATTAGCAGATTGTGGTGGCCAGCTGGATGGAAAGTCGCCGGGCTTGGACACAGTGAGGTGTAGGACATCAGGCGCTACCCCACAGGCGGTGGCCATGACAGCTGAGTCAGCCATGAGGATGGCCTTGTGCACAGCAGAGGGAACTTGAGATTAAGGACAGGTGTGGGGTGAGGGCGGGAGAATGAAGACCGAGGCCCGGGGCAGGACAGGTGCCGGTGAGGGCCGTGAGCTGCTCGTCTAACGCAGAGAACATGGAACAAAAGAAACTGGGATGTCCTCGGGGCGGGTGACGAGGCTTCTCTGCTCTAACGGCCACAGGGGGCTTTGGTGGGTCTAATGGCCCGAGGAGGAGGTGGACAGGAGGGAGCCGTTCTCCACAGTTCAGGCCAGGGAATTAGGACTGGAAGACGTGACATAACGAGGCCAGGGACACCCAATGAGCACAGCTCAGGCCCGGGTCCGCCTGGCCCTGCATGCTACAGCCGGGAAGGGGGGTGGAGGCGTGCAGCGTGACGAGGAGCTGGGTTCATGCGAGTGGTGCGTAGGTTCAGCGGAGGAACTTACTCGCAGATGAACGTGCCCTGGGGGATGCTCTGCAGGGCCCGGACCCCCCAGCCCATCTTGGCCGTGCGGTAGAGCTGCAGTCGCACCCTAGAGGTAGAGAGGGGGTCTTGCTGAGTGAGGGGCCTGGGGAGGGCCCGGGGAGGGGAGGCCGAGGTGAGGCGGGGTGCCGGGGCGGGCGCCTCACTTGATGCCGCTCTGCACCACGCGGTTCTTGCAGCTTCTCCAGCAGGAGCATGCCTGGTTACACTCAAAGATCAGGGGGGGCTCGATCTTGTTAAATTCCTGGAGCAGCCGCCCGTCCTGGGGTGCGGAGGGAGGGGACAGTGGTTTCTCTGTGGGGCCAAGAGGCCTCCACAGGAAACTCCGCTCTGACCCCAGCCCAGGGCACAGGAGGAAGGGTGCCGAGCCTGCAGGCTGAGGTCAGAGACCAGGAAGTAGGCAGGTCTCAGAGTCCATCTGCATGTACCTGGGCAGAGCCCACTGCATTCCTGGCAGGATCCTAGAGCTTCCTGCCACACCCTGTGTCTTCCCTGGCTCCTCTGCGCGTGGCCGGGCAGACCTGGCCGGGCGAGGGACACGCACCTTGTCATACCAGCAGCGGATGCTGAGCTGGCCGCACAGGCAGTTGGAGCTGGAGCAGTCGTCCACACAGGTGCAGTGCTGTGGGGGCACAGGCGGTGAGTGGGGTCCTCCCCACCCCCGGCGCTCGGGCCTCGGCCACACGGACCCCATGGGACGTAAGCCTTCTATCTACTCGTGTGTGGGCACCTGCAGGTGGGTGATGTTGCGGTCGATGTTCATGGTGGAGGTCTCGCAGTTCTCGGAGATGTACTTGTAGTCCTCGGGGCACGGCTCCCCATCCACGCCGTTGACGCAAGGGATGGGCACATTCTCGTAGCCACGGGCCACGTCCCTGCAGAGGGGCACACGGCTCAGTGCAAGTGTACATGCTCCGTAAGGCCCAAGGGTGCCATCAGAAGAGGTGCTGGCTGCGGTGGTGACACCTTTAACCCAGCAAGAGGCAGGCGGGCCTCTTCGAGTTCAAGGCCAGGACTACATAGTGAGACTTTCTTAAAGAAAACAACCACGAAAGAACAAAGAAACAAAAGACGGCAAGGCGAGCACTCACTAGGATAATTATGTCCCCAGGACTGCCTGGGCTCTTTGTTCCCGAGGAGGCTACGGACTGAGCCCAACAGCACTGCGCAGGTGAGGCCAATAGATGCTTCCCCGCCAGACTGTTTCCGGCCCCAAACTAAAGAGTCTTCCTTCCCGGGCCAGCCCAGGCCGCCTCAAACTGCAACGCAGCGGAGAATGACTACAACCCCTGATGGCCCTGCCCGTGACTCCCAGGTGCCAGGGCTGCGGCTTAGGCCACTAAAGCTGGTCTTGCTACTTTGTGGGTTCTTCTTTTTCCCACTGTTTGTCCCCCCACCCTGACGGAGACTGATGGAGATCCTTGAATCTAATTTCTTTGCTTCTCCTTTGAGCTCATCTGCTAACGAATCACAACCGATCCCCCTGAACAAGCAACCACCAATACACCCCCATATTTACTTTAGTTCTGTGTACTTCTAAAGGGCCCACAGCAAGAGAATTTACATCTGCCAGTGGAAAAGGATGAAGCTAACGAAAAACCACCTCGAGCAGCAGCGCTGTAGCATTTACGTACTCCCTGAAAACTTCCCACAATTCCAAACGGCACAAAATCGCAAAAACTGTCTGCAGCTGGCAAAACCACACCACTGTACGCTGTACGAGAGGTCAGCTGCTGCGGACGGTCCGAAGCAGCCCCCATCCCCACACCTGGGATTTAAAAGGAAAGCCTTCTTGCGTTTTTTATAGAAACCAACTTTCCAGAATTGTCACTACGTCACCATGCTAGACTCTGGCCTTTTAAATTTTACTTGGAAACAAGAGTCTTGCTACAAAGCCCAGGCTGGCCTCAGGCCTTCCTGTCTCAGCACCCTCAGACGCTGTGACCGCAGCCAGGCTCCAGCACGATGAGCCTGCACAGGACACAGCTGTGTCACAGCGGAGCAGCTCCTCATCGCAGTGAGTCTCTTTGGAAGGTGTGTTTTCATTTCTTGCCTGTGAGTACACCACGCGCATGCTTGGTGACCAGAGGTCAGAAGGCGTGAGTCCTTGGAACTGCAGTCACAGACAGGGACCATCGTGTGAGCCATCGTGTGGTGCTGGGAATTGAACCTGGATCCTGCAAGAGCAGCTACTCACTGCTCCCAACCCCTGAGCCACCGCTTCAGCCTATCTCTGTCTGTTTTGTTTTGAGAGCTTTACTATGTAGCTCTGGCTGTCCTAGAACTCACAGAGATCCCAGAATCTGCCTCCTGAGTGCCGACATTAAAGGTCAGCAGCGCTCTCTAGGCTCTGTGGTGCACGCCTTTAATCCCAGCCCTCAGGGGGCAGAGGCAAGGGGAATCTGAGTTTGAGGCCAGCCCGGTCCAGGAGAGCCAGGGCTACACAGAGAAACCCTGTCTCAAACAACCACCAAGCATCAACAGCAAAAGGCCAACACTCCTGGTGCCCTTCCACCTGCTTTTGGAGACAGTCTCACAGTGCAGTTCTGGAACTCAGACATCAGGCTGCCTCCACCTCCCCAGGGCAGGGGTTAAAGGTGTGCACCACCACACCCGGCTTCAAAGCTTTAAGTCTTATGGTGTGTGTGTGTGGGGGGGGGCGCTCGAGTGAGTGTGTGAGGTGCATCTGTGACCCAGGCCTCGGGAGGGGTCGATGCCTCAGCTGGGCTCTGGGCTTGAACTATCTGTCTGGAGGCACGTGCCTTCAGCAGCAACTCGGCCTTGCAAGTGTCTCGGTCGTTTTGTTTTTCTGTTTTAAGTCTGCTGTAAAGCCTCTCTGGCAGGTGTGAGACGTACGTCTCCTGCCTCAGCTTTCAGAACGGGCGCCAAAGGTGACACCCAGCTCCTATACCAATTTTCTTTTTTTTTTTTTAAGGTCGTCTCACAATGTGGACCTGGCGGGCCTGGAACTCACTAGACAGATACAAACCAACCTGAGGTCAAGTTCACGAAGATCCAGGGTCTCTGGCCCTGTGGACTGGGATTAAAGTGTGGGCCATCAGGCCCTTCTTTAAGTGCGTGTGCGCAAGTCCTGCTGTACTTGTACCTCAGAGGATAAGAACCGCACTCGGCCCCTTACCCGCTGAGGGTCTCACTGGCAGAGGCCTGTATTTCCATCTCCCCTAGGGGCAACTCTTGGGTCGCCCTGTGCCTGGGTCCTGGAATGGGGTGTGTGGGGGTGTGTGGGTGTGTGTGTGTGCATGTGCGTGTGTGCAGGGAGGCAGTGGCAGGGGCACGGGCCACTCACCGACAGATGATCTTCTCCGTGCGGACAGCGCGGTTGCCCACCCCGAGCCTAAGCTTGCGATTCAGCTGCAGCGCGAACCACACGTCGGAGCGCTCTGGGGTCAGGTCCCACGCCGTGTCCCCTTCTTTGTTGCGAAGCTCAGGGTTGGCTCCCCGAGACAGGAACAACCTGAGGAGCGTCAGATCAGAGACCGGGCAGCGGGGTGAGGGCGCCAGGGGCTGGGGAGGCCGGGGCTTACAGCACGCAGTCGTGGTAGCTCTCCCGGGCGGCGATGTGCAGGGGCGTGTCCCCGTGGTAGTTGACGGCGTGGAGGTCACACTGGGCGTTCAGGAGGACCTCGGCAATGGCGGCACTGCCCGTGAAGGAGGCCCAGTGCAGGCAGATGTTCTCTTCCTGCGGAGGGAGGGTGGAGAGCGGGTTGCAGGCGAGCTCCTGGGCAGGCCTCCACCCTGTACGGCCACAGGGGGTGTCTCTCACGTTGTCAGTGAGGGTGACATCGGCGCCTCGGGTCAGCAGCATGCGGATGACGTCAATGTGCTTGTGCTCGGCTGCCCAGATGATAGGCGTCCAGCCCCCGCTGTCCTGAGGGGGGAGGGGGGAGGGGGGAGGGATGAGGCCCAGCCTCGATGGCCAGAGAATGGAGTGTCACCCAGACGGGCCCCCCATCCACGGGGGTGGAGGGCCAGGCGAGGAAGGAGCCCTGGGGGAGGGCAGCGGGCCCTGACCTGGGCGTTCACGTCCACCTGCCCCGTGCTCAGCAGCAGGCTGACCATTTCCAAGTTCCCAATTTTGGCTGCATGATGGAGACAGGTGGAGCCGTCCTCTTCCTGAGGGAGACAGAGCCAGAGAATCCTCCAGCGGGCGCCTGCAGCCATCCCTCCCCCGCAAGGGGCCATCCCTCCATGGCGCCCGCCCCGCCTCCCACCCGCTGCTGCACCTTGCTGTAGACGCAGCCGCCTAGCTGCACCATGTACCGAGCCACCTCGAGGTGGTTGTTCACCACGGCCTCCATCAGGGGCGTGCGCTGCTGCTTATCCACGGCATTGATGTTGGCTCCGGCCTGTGAGGAGGGGCGTGAGGGCTGGCACCAGGAAGAGGACGTTGGGGAGGTTGGGGAGGGGAGGGGAGGGGTCGAGGTGCCAGACCTGCAGGAGCACATGGCAGATCTCCACGGACCCTTTCTGCGCAGCCGCGTGCAGGGGCGTGCGCTTGCTCTGCTGGTCGCTCTGGAAGTTGGGGTCTAGGCTGTCCACTGCAGGAAGAAGACACAGGAGGTGAGTACACCAGGGGCGGGGCAGGAGGCGGCAGGGCCCACCCTGCCGGGGGACCTTCCGGTGCTGGGCTCCCACCTCGGCCACCCCCAGGGTCACACGACACTCACGCAGCATGAGGATCACCTTCTGCAGCTCGCCCTGCTTCACCGACAGGTAGAGCTGCCGGGGGTGGAAGCGCAGCTTCTTGCGCCTGCCGGGGGAGGGAGGGGGCGAAGGCCGGCTGCTCAGACTTGAGCACCAACGGTGACACCTGCTTCCCTGGCCCTGTCCCGGCTGATACCCCCAAACAGCACCGACTCACCTCTCCGACTCCTGGATGACCAAGGCCTTTTCCAGGGCTTCCCGGCCCGGCCCGGGGGGCAGACCCACGGCTGAGAGGCAGCCGCCGTTAGGCAGGGTCAGCGAAGGCCCTGAGCTGTCGATGGTGTCGGCCAAGGGGTCGCTCGGAGGGCGCCGGGGCTCGCCATGCCCTCGCATCCGGGCGCTGTGGGAGAATGGTCTGAGGTCTGGGGGCGGGGGAGGGTAGACGGGCGGCCGGGGGACAGGGAGAGGAAGATACCTGGGCTGGGAGGTGTCCGCTCGCCCTGGGGCGTCCTGGGCCAGGGCTGGCGGGGCAGGAGCTGCAGTGGCAGCCGGGGGCGGGCCCCCGTCGCCCCGGGGAAGGGTCACCTCCTGGGCCTCCGAAGCATCCTCCCCACAGTGGGGACAGAAGACCATCCCGTTGAGCTGGGACACGCAGGCCTTGTGGAAGCGGTGGGCCACGCGGAAGTCGGGGTGGCATTCCAGGAAGGTGCCCTGTGTAAGGGAGAGAGGGCAGTCAGCCTCCGGGCTCTCCTCAGGTCGGGCCGCCCACCGACCCCAACGGCCACTCACCGCCGTGCAGAAGTAGCCGCAGCCCGGGCAGCAATGGTGCTTGACCATGCGGGCTCGATGGGCCTCACAGAGCACCATCAGCGCCACGCGGCTGGAAGGCCGCATGGTCTCTCGCTTGAGGATGGCGGCATTGCAGCCCACCAGCTGGGGAGAGGAGGGCGGGCGCGAGGGTGAGGCGGGTGCAGCCCAGCACTCCCACGCCTCCCCAGCCGGCACCGCAGACACACCTCTCCATCCACGCTTTCGGTGGCCATGCACCTGTGCCCTGCTCGCTCACTGATGCGGTCGATTTTGGGCGCCTCCATGCGGCAGCTGCAGAGAGGCAGCTCCTCCCACCCCCGCTCTGTCTCCAGGGAGGACGTGTCGTTGGATACCCCTTAGGCAGGAAGGCACGGGACACATTGGAGGCCTTGCTCCTCAGCCCCTGCAAGGGTCCTCCCATCCCAGCTGGCCGCCCCTCACGTTCTAGAACCCCAAGGCCTGGCATGGATACCCCAGCTCTGGCATGATTCCCTCCACCCCCATGGGCACCCCTCAGTGGTTCCCTGCCCCGGAAGTTGGCAATTACCAGCGTGGTTGGGGGAGAGGGTCCCCTCGCTGGGCAGCTCCAGGGACCCCAGAGGGACCTCCATGTACTCACTGGGCCCTGAGGAGCTCACGCCATTCACTCCTGACACAGAGACAGAGAGAGTGAGAGTGGGCGCTCATGAGCACGTGCGCACAACCGTGCGCGCCACGAGCCCGCACAAAGGGCCATGCGCAAGCTTCCGAGTGTGGGCCACTCTCGGGGGCCACAGGAGGGGACCCAAGAGCAGAGGAGCCCTCTCACCTCTCGGCTCCTTGGCCCTCGGAGGCTCTCGTTTCCGCCGTTTCCTAGACGGCTTCACCCATGGGCTGTCCTTGCGCCATTTCTTCTTGGCCTTGCGCCGCCCACTAGAGCCACTCTGCGGGAGAGGAAGACTCCAGAGCTCTGCCGCCGGCTGCCAGCAGCTCTGCACTCCTCCAGGGAGACCAGGCTCTGCTCTCACCCTGTCTGACTGATTGCCCGATTCCTCATCTTCCTCATCTTCCTCCTCCTCCTCTTCTTCCTCCTCTTCCTCTTCTTCCTCCTCCTCTTCCTCCTCCTCCTCTTCACTCAACTGTTCCGCTAGAGCTTCAACTTCAGACTGAAAGAGGAAAATGGGGCTGGGAAAACAAGCAAACTGCAGCTATCTCCATTGAACCCTAAGGCCCCGTGTCATTACCAGCCCCACTGGGGAAAGCTCGCTGAGGTGATGAATATGGGCAGAGGGGAAAAAAGACAAGAGGCAAGAATGCAATGCAGCAGTGAAAAGGGCTGGCTTTCCCAGACACACAGACAGACTACCCACGACAGCAAAACCATTGAAGCCAATGAGGAGCTCTGTAACGAAGGGTCAGGCTGCCGTCCCCGGAAACCACAACACAGTGTCAAGGTTTTCTTTTTGTTTGCCTGGAGACAGGGTCCCACCAGGCAGTCCTGGCCTCAATCTCACAGAGATCCAACACCTCTGCCTCTCTCAACTGCGTCAACAGTTCACAGGAAAAAAGAGCAAACATCCTACATAGTGTCTGAGGAAGGAAACGGGAAGGAGGCACTTGTAGTCCAAGCACGTGGGAGACGAAGGCAGGAGGAGCAGGAGGAGCAGGAGGAGCAGGGGCTCAGGGGCTCAGGGGCTCAGGAGCTGGCCCAGCAGTTGAGAACACGGTTGTTCTTGCAAAGGACCTGGGTTCAATTCCAAGCACCCAGGGTGGCTCCTAACTGCCTGTAAGTCTGGTCCCAGAACATCCACGTTCTCTTCTGACTTCTAAGGGAAGCCAGGCGTGCACATGGCGCAACAGACATGCATGGAAAACTCATGTGCATGACAACAACTGGCAAGGCCAGGGTCATCCCTGGCTATACAGCAAGGACAGCCGGGGTACATGAGGTGTATCCTGAGACAAACAGCACAGGAGACCTGAAGGGAATCTCACTTCTGAAACTATGAACAGCTTACTCAGGTCGCAAGCAAGTAAGGTGGAGGGGATGCCGGGCCTGCTGAGCCAATGCCCCAGTGTGCGCAATCCTGTAAAACTGACTTGGTTTTTTTGTATTTTTCTAAAAAGATTTATTTATTTATTATGTATACAGTGTTCTGCCTGCACACCAGCAGAGGGCACCAGATCTCACTCTAGATGGTTGTGCCACCACGTGGTTGCTGGGAATTGAACTCAGGACCTCTGGAAGAGCAGCCAGTGCTCTTAACCTCTGAGCCATCTCTCCAGACCTTGACTTGCTTTTAGTAAGTAACTGGTGAGAAATCATTTTCCTGAGTGCTACTGTTCTGAGGGTGGGGTGGGGACAGAGGCAGGAGAAACAGAAGTTCAAGGCCAGCCTAGGAAACACCATTGAAACTTTGTCTCAAACCTCACTCCCCACCCCCCAAAAAAGGACGCCTTTAGCCTTTAATTCCAGCACTCCGGAGGCAGAGGCAGGTGGATCTCTGTGAGTTCCAAAACAGACAGGGCTATAGAGAGAAACTCTGTTTCAAAAAACAAAACAAGCAAACAAACAAAAAAACAAAAATAAGAAAATTCCAAGGCAGCAAAGGCTATGTGGGGGACCTTATCTCAAAAAACCCAACAAACCATGAACTGACTGGCCTGCTCTTTCATCACCTCCTCCTGAGGGGAGAGCAGCCTTACCAGGCCACAGAGGAAGACAATGCAGCCACTCCTGATGAGACCTGATAGACTAGGATTAGAAGGAAGGAGAGGAGGACCTCCCCTATCAGTGGGCTATTAGTGGAGGGGCACGGGTGGAGAAGGGGGAGGGAGGGAGCTACAGGGGGGATACAAAGTGAATAAACTGTAATTAGTAATAATAATAAAAAAGAACCCAAAATTCTCACTACAGCCCACTGGAGCTGGGACCCACCTTTCCCTTCTGTGTTAGGAGGAAAGTGTTAAATAAACTAAACGTAAAGCCAACAGAAGGAATGGGCAGACAGTTCAGTGGGTGCGTGTAAGGATCTGAGTTTGTCCCGCAGACTTCACGGAGGAAAGCCGGGAGCTCAGCCCTGGGCAGTGAATGAGCCACATTCAGGGGAGAGGAGGGTCGGCGGAGGGGCTGGAGCGCAGGCCACCCCGAGTACCTTGCTGTCAGAGTCCACGTGCTCGTCCACGGAGTCATAGTACAGGCTCAGGTTGTCACCCACCACCGTCTCCCACTCCTCCAGGGACCTGGGCTCCCCCTTCTCCAGGGTCACATCCCCCGAGCCGCGGGCAGAGCCCAAGTCGTCCGACTAGAAACACATCACAGAGTCTGAGGCCGCTGGCCCTCCAAACCCCCCAGCCCCAGCCCCAGCCCTTCCTCGAAGCTCACCAGGCCACCAGCGGTCAGCTTCCTCCTTTTGGCCACATCTGGAATGACAGGAAGGTGAGGAATTGCAGCCCCTGGGTCGGGCCACGCCAGCCACCGGGAGTGTGCGCGCAGAGGCCTGGTGCAGAGGACCGGGTGACTGACCTGCCGTCCCCTTCCCCAGAGGCTGCATGTCGTCGCTCATTCGGAAATGCTGCACTTCTGGGCGCCGCTTCTCGGGGGCCGGCGGCTGCAGCGTGGAGGACAACTCTGTCAGGCTGCCACTCGCCCCACAGGAAACCTGGGGCCAGGTGTGACGGCACACACCTTTCATCCCAGCACTCTCAGAGTCCCGGGCCAGCCTGGGCTACAGATCGAGTGGGGCCCGTCTCAGACACAAACGAAATCTGGACATGTGCAATGCGGAGGCTTGAGGAGTTACCAAAAGGAGATGACCATTTCTGCTCCATCAGCCTGGCGCCAAGCCGGGCATGGGGTGGCTGGCCATACCACACGAAAGCCATCTGAAGCCACCGAGATTGCTCAGCAATGGTCTGCAGCCAAGCCTGGAGAACTGGATTCAATCCTTGAGATCCCCACGGTAACAGGAGAGAAATGACTCCCACAGTTTCCTAGTTTTTATTGCTAGGGGTTTTTTTTTCTTTTTCTTTTTTTTTTTTTTTTTTTGTTTTTTTTTGAGACAGGGTGTTACATGGCACAGGCTGGCCCTGGCAGGCCCGGACCTCCTGGTGTGGATCAGGCTGCCCCAAACCTCACAGAGATCTTCCTGCTTCTGCCTCCCAAATGCTGGGGTTAAAATTAATTAAAAAAAAAAAAAAAAAAAAAAAAAGCCATCATTAGATGGCTACAGAAGGAAAAATGAACGGACCCACAGGTCTCTTCCTGGATGTGGAGCCAATGTTTACATATTGCTCGTTCACACATCTTTGTGAGTGTCTGTGGGCCAGAAGGCGGAGTCCCGGCAGGCTGTGAGCCAGCCTGCCTTGGGGCGCTGGGATGTGAACCGAGTCCTCTGAAAGAGCAGTTTAAGTACTCTCGGCCAGTAGCCATTTCTCCAGTCACAGAGCAAGAACATTTAAAAACTGTCTCGAAAACAAACAAACAAACAAAAAAAAATGATTAAGAAGAAAACAGGGCCAGCACCTCAGGGGGCAGGGGTGCCGCGCAAACTCTGAAACTTAAGTTTCCTGGACCCCATGAAAAGGTGGAAGAGGCTCAAAGAAGATCTCTTCAGCCGAGATGCCCTACACACATACACACTTATTCTTTTATCTTTTTCCGAGACAAGATCTCTCTGTGTAGCCCTGGCTGTCCCAGAATGCTCTGGAGACCAGGCTGGCCTCAAACTGAGAGATCCCGCCTCTGCGTCCCAAGTGCTGGGATTAAGGGTGTGTACCACCGCTGCCCGGCCTTACGTCAAAAATTTCAGAATTGCGTAAGGACCGAACTGCCTGGCAAGCTACAGAGCTCACATTAACTAATCGTCCGGAGGGTGTCTGAGCTACAAGGAAGCCTCGTGTAAGTCATATGCAAATGAGATCCCCTGGGCCTGAGCCTGTCCCTCTTTACTGCTCTCATTTTATGAGGTATGAGCACACGTGTACTTCTGTACCTGAGGAAAGTGATCACATCCTGATGCGGGGGGTCACTCTTCCAGGGACAGAAGACAGGGGCTGGAGAGGGGCTCAGAGCACTGCTGCTCTTGAGGAAGACACACACACACACACACACACACAGACACACACACGTGGCTCACAACGCCTTCACACTCAAGCCCCAGGGGACCCACTGCCCTCTTCCAGCCTAGGAGGGCAGGAGGCATACATGAAGGTAGACCCCGGGGCATGTAAATAAAGCAGGAAAAAGGAACTAAGAAATTGAAGGAAGGAAAAGTTCAATCAAGAAGCTGGGTGGGATGGCTCAGTCAGCCGGGGTGGCACAGACCTGCTTACGACCCTGGGGGTGGAAGAGTGAGGCGGATCTCTGTGTTAAAGGCCAGTCAGGGTTTACACGAGACCCTGTTAGAGCTACGCACAGCCCCCACGGAACACAGTAACCCAGCCCCAAAACAGACACCAACAGAACCAAACCCAGGCCACGCCCAGAACACAGACACTGGGGCAGCTCTTAAAACCTTGCCACAATTTGGATTCCTGCAATTTACGTGGCCTCCCCTGGGGACCGTTCCCAGTAAAAACTTCAGCAGGCACGAGAATGGTTTCAAAGTAGGGAAGGAAAGAAAAACAAAAAACAAACAAACAAAAAAAAAACAAAAAACAACCTCCCTAAGGCCTTGCTCAGACGCTGATCCTGCACGGTCATTTCGGTAAGAGTAATTAGGACAATAACTACATAATTAACTCTGCATCTGTCAGTCTGCGCCGCTGACCACCCCTCCCCCAAGAACACAAACTGCAGGAAGCCGGCAATTACTCCGGTCACAGAAGAAGGCCGGCCCAACAGCTGACACTTGGTAGCCTATTGGTAAATTCGAAAAAAAAAAAAAAATCTGAATACAAGAGGCCCAAGGCGGAAGAAGGAAGGAAAAAAAAAAAACACAAAAAACCCCAACCAACAACAAAAACAAAACGAGAACGAGCCCACCCAGAGATTCCCGGTTCTCTCCACCCAACTCGCTCAGCCTCACCTGCCCCGCGGCGGGCTTGGACATGGTTTTCCGGGCTCGGTGTACTTTGGGCGGCCCCTCCTGGCCGGTAGTCGGTGCCGGTGGGGGCTCAGGCCCGGCAGTTGCAGCTCCCTGGGCCCCGGGCATGCTCAACAGCCTCATGGCCAAACTCTGGACGGAGGGGGGCGACTTTCCTGCCCCCGTCATTGACATTTTGGCCCGGCTGGGGCAGGCACCCCCCTTGCTGGGGGAAGAGGGGATCGACTTTGTGGCATGGCCTAGAAGAGAGGCGGGCAGGCAGGCGCTGCAGGGCGAGCGGGCGGGCGGAAGGCCCTCCTGCGAGCCCCCCTCCCTCACCCCGCGGCCTCTCACCCAGCAGGATTCGCCCCCCGTCTCCCTCCAGGTTCTCGGGCTCATCCCCAATGAGCGGCGTGGTCCCCACGGGGGTGTCAGCCCCCTCTTCGCCGACGGTGACAGTGACAGAGGCCGGAGAGGAGGGGCCGGCAGGCTCCAGGGAGTCGGGGTTGGACTTGGGGAGGGTCTCCTCACTATGAGAGGTGTCCCCCAAAGAGCCATGAACTGTCGGGGGGAGGGGGAAAGAAAAAGTTCAGGGCCGAGGGCTCCCGGGATCCCGTGTTGGGGGTGGGGCGCGTGGCGGTCCGGCTGGGCCTGCCCGGGCCGCACTCACCTCTCTCGGGGGCTCCCCGGGGCTCCTTCTCCAGCAGCAGCGCCCCCATCTCGGCGGGGGACTCCCCCTGGGAGGGGAGACAAGGGACCGCGGGGCCCGTGAGCCCGGCAGGCATCGGAGGGGCCCAGGACGCCTGGGCCCTGGGCAGCGAGAGCAGGCTTCGGGGCCTACCCCGTCCTCGGTGGGCGCCCCCACGACCGCGGCCGCGGCCGCCCGTGGGGGCCGCACGCCCCCGCCCCCGGGCCCGCATCAGCCCCCTCCCTCTCGGCAGACCCCGCATCTCTGGGGCCCGGAGCAGAGGAGGGGGAGGGGGCGGGGCCTCCGCGCCCCGGCCCCGCCCCCTCCTCCCGGCCGCACGCGCCGCTCCCCCTTTGTCCCCCAGGCCGCGGGGACCCCGGCCACCAACCCCTGCAACGCCCGCCGCGCCCCAGCCCGGCGGACGGCCCCTCGAGCCCCTGGCGCGTGCTCCCGGGGTCGCCGTGCCCACCGCCCACGCAGGGGCGGCGGGCGGCGGCACGCGCGGCTCGGCGCCCACTCCCCCCACCTCCCCCCCCCCGCCCCCCCCCTCCGCCCCCGGCGCCGGCCCCCTGGTTTGCTGCGAGTTCGGCTCGGGGCCCCCGGCCCCGTTGCACCCCCGGAGCATTGCGCGAGTGCGCGCTCCCCCCCGGGCGCGCGCGCGGGCATGCACCCGCCTCTCCCCCTCCCCTTCCGCACCTCGGCGGCCGCCGCCGCCGCAGCTCCCGCCGCCGCCGCCATCGCCGCTTGCGCGGGGGGCCGAGCCGGCGCGCGGCCGCCCCGGGTCACGTGGACAGGGAGGGAGGGCGACGAGACGCCTTAAAGGAGCCGCTGCGGGCCTTTGGGCCATTTTTTGCCCCCCGGAGTGGCCCCGGAGGTGCGGACCCGGGGGCTGTCGGGGAGCGGGCCCGGGGGCCCGGCGGGGCGCGGCGCGGAGCCGAGGGCGAGGCTCGCCCGGGCCGTGGCCTCCCTGTCCCCGCCCGGCGTGGGCAGCACGTGCAGCCTCTGCCTGCAGCTGCCGAGTCTCTCCGCCTCGAGCCTCCGGACGGAAGGCCCGAGAGCCGCCTCGGCCCTCCGGGGCCCGGAGACCTTCGGAAGGCGCCTTGACGTCCGCCTCGGCGTCCTTCCGAAGGCCTGGGGCCGGGTGTCCTCGGCTGCTCGGCGGGGGCTGCTGGCAGTAACTAGTGCTTCTGCCCTGGCGCCCGTCCTTGGGGGTCACGGGCCAGCTGACAGCGCGAGGGTGGGGGCACACACCCCGCTTCGGGCCCTGGGCAACGGGGGAAGATAACCTGTGCGCTCTCACACACAATACCGGACAGGCAGGTAGCTACGCGACTGGGCTCGAGGCCAATTCAGGGGCTTATGGGAACTGTAGTTCTCTGTGGACGAGAACGTTTCGGAGCTTTCTGGGAATTGTAGTCTTCGGGGCATTCGACTGTGGGCTGAGCCGACTCTTCGGCTTTTCTTAAAGCGCGAACCGCTCGCCACAGAACACTCAGAGAGAGATGCCAGCCCGGCCATCTCGGCGGGCACGCGGGCAACCCGCAGCCTGTGCCTTGCGCTGCCACCAAGCCCCGCAAAGCTTATGCCATGACCAGGGCTGCCAGCCGCTCGCGAGATAAGGTGTCTGCCCGGGCGGAGGAGGGCGTGTTCCTGATGGGCCCACAGGCATGTTCCTTAGACACGGGCCGCAGTAGTAGCTCTGGGAAACCCTGTCTGTGGTGGGTGGTCAGACACACGCAGTTGCCAGAATATAAAGGAAAAGAAGGTTTGGTTTGTTTTTTTATTTTGTGGAAAACAGAGAAAAACTAAAACCCCGAACTCCAGAAACAAATCCTAAAAAATACGTTTTCTTAAAAAATACTGTATGTCCCTACTCCTCTCCCTCCCCCCGGCCCTCCTCGCGTCCTTTTTCCTACGTGCCCTGCCCCCACCCTCCACTATCCGCTGTTCTTGCTACTGTATCCCGTGTCTCATTCCCTACCCGGGCTGCCCGCCCTGTCCTCTTACCTGGCACATATATTTTGTCGTTTTCGGTGAGCCGAGCGCCCACGGGCCCCCTCCCCAGCATGCAGGAACGCCTCCCCTTCTCTTCCCTGTGAGCTACTCTAAGCAGGAGCAAGCCAACTCTCCTGCCAACCACCCCACAACCCCCACCCCACCCCACCTCAAGGAACACTAGGACCTTTCCCCAGAGGCAGCCTTAGCCAGGAAAGGGATGTTCTCCGAACTTCAAGCCTTGGCTTTTTTCTCTCCCCCCACATCGTTCGTGCGCCTCCGAAAAAAAGAAATCTCTCCTTGGGACCCCGCGCTCCCTCGGCCTTGTCAACCCTGTCTCCGGCTCCATCCTCTCCTTTTGCTCTTTGAGGCAAGGTCTTCTCTCCAATCTTCCTCCCTCGAAACGTAGGCCTGACCCAGAACCCCGCCCCCCAATCCCCCGGGGGTCCGGGAAGGCCCCGGCCTCCCGGGCCCTCAGCGAATGAGGACGTTGATCTCCGCCACGCCGGCCTCCAGCACGTTCTCGGCCGTGGTTTTGCCGTGCTGCTCCTTGAGGTGCCGCCGGATGGCCGGCTTGTGGGCGAAGCGCACGTCGCAGTAGGAGCACCGGTAGGGCCGCGCTCCCGAGTGCAGGTTGAGGTGGTCGTGCAGCGTGGACTTCTGGGTGAAGCACTTGCCGCAGATGCCACACGAGTGCGACTTGACGCCGCGGTGGACGTTCATGTGGCGGTTGAGGTTGCTGCTGTGGTTGAACTGCTTGCCGCAGCGCGGGCACATGAAGATGAAGTGCTGGGCGCGCATGTGGAACACCAGCTTCTCCACGCCCTGGAACACCTCCGGGCATTTGGTGCACTTGATGTTCTTCAAGGGGTTTCCGCCCGAGAAGCCCCCGGGCAGGGGGCCCCGGCTGCCCCCCGCCCCCAGGCTGCCCCCCGCCCCCCGGGCAGCCATGGCCACCGCTGCTGCTTCCACCAGGCCCGAGGTGGCCCCCACACTGGCCCGGCCTCCCGGGATCAAGAGCAGGCCTTCGCCCTCTGCGTCCTCGGACAGGCTGTAGCAGGCCTTGACCACCCCCTGCGGAGGGGCCACGGCGTTGGGGGCCACGCTACTCTGGGCCAGCTCGCCCAGGTGGCTGCCCACAGACGCCCCAATACCCAGGCCCCCCGCTAGGCCTCCGGGGGGCTTGAGGCGGTGGGCCACTTCCAGGGCCGACTCGACCTTGACGATGCAGATGTCAGAAACGTCCTCGTCCTCATCCTCGTCCTCGTCCTCCGCCTTCAGCTCCAGGTCCTCGTCCAGCGGAAACTCCAGCTTCACGGGCCGCAGGAGCGGAGGGGGTAGAGGCGGTGGCGGTGGGGGTTTCGGTGCAGGCTTTGGGGTCCTGGCTGGAGGGAGGAGGGACTTGGCCGCACTGCTCACGAGGCTGGCGTCGCCGACCCCGTCCTCTTTGAGGCCGATCTTGGGCTCGATGAACTGGCTGAGGGCGTTCCGGCATTTCTCCACCACGTGCTCCATCTGCAGGTAGGAGGCGGCCGTCAGGTAGTTGACGATGTCCCTGACTGCGAACTCCAGGGCGCCCGTGTAGCAGGAGAGGAGCAGGTCGGCCACGATGCGCGCGCTGTGCATCAGCGAAACCTGCAGCTCGGAGCTGGGGTTCAGCAGGAACTGGTCGCGGAGGAACGGCGAGCAGGCGGCCAGGATGACCTTGTGGCCCCGGAACTTGAGGCTGTCGGCCACGATGGTCACGTCGCAGAACCGCTCCTCGGCGCGGAGCTGGTTCATGTTCCGCAGCGTAGCGGCCTCGTGGCCAGGCAGCTGGAAGCGCAGGACTTCCACCCCAGAGGCCATTGTGGCGGGAGGGGACTGCCCTGGGTGGGAAGGAGAGCGGTCAGAGACAAAGGTCTCTGGCTGGCGTCAGCCGAGGCTCCAGGCCCCCCATCCCCACCTCCCGGGTCCGCTCGCGCCTCCCTCCCTCAGTTTCCCCAATTCCAGGGAGGCGCGGTCCCTGCGAGCAGGGAGGCGTGGTTCCCGGGGGCGGGGCAGCGGCGTCCACACCCCCCGGCCCCGCGCGGCCGTGGGAGAATGGAGAAAGGGGGAGGCGGGTGGGGACAGAAAGCCCGGGGACTGCGGCTCCGGGGTGGCCCCCGGGGCAGGCTTCCCTCCCCCGCCTCGCGTCTGGCCTGGGCCGCGCCGCCGCGAGCCCCCTTTATTTTCCACGCCCTCCCGCCGCCCGGGCAGGTCGCGCACGCCCCCTCCCCCGCGCACAGCTCCGTGGCACGCCCACCCCACAGACTCGCGATCCCGGGTGCACGCGCCTCTCACCTGGCCCGGTTCCGCGTGCTGACTTTTTTCCCCCCTGGTCCCCCACCCCCCCGGGGCCGGCGGCGCCCCCCACACTCGGGCAGGGCCTGGGCAGCGCGCAGGCGCGGAGGTGCAGGGGGCGCGCGCGCGCGCGGGGGGAGCCGGCTCCGCGTGGGCGGGAGGGGGAGGGGCGGGGGCGGCTCGCGCCGAGTGTTCCGAGGCCCCGCGCGCAGCGCGCCGTCCGCCAGGACTCGGGGCGGAGGAAGAGGGGAGGCAGTTAAAGGAGCAGGGCTCCCCCTCCCCGACCCCCCTCGCCTCCCCCCGGCACCCCCACGCGGTTAAAGGGCCGGACACTCGTGCGTCCCCTTCGGCCGGGATTATTTGTCCGCCAGAGCGGAAATACGCTCCACACCCCCCTCCGTCGCGCTCCCCCTCCTCTCCGCCCCTGGGGCCCGCCGCCCGTCTGCGCGTGCGTGCCAAGGCCCGCGCGCTCCGGCCCGCCCCCGGCGCCCGGAGCCCCCC